ACGCCGAAATAAGTATAATGATGGTGACAAAGCCTAGGCAAGAGTTGAACTCTATGTCCTTAAGTCGAATTTGCCCCGCAACGGTGCCTACGGATTTCGGCAATCGACTCCCAAGATACAACGGCTACACTTGTGTTTGTAGCACTCCAAAACACAAGTACAACGAACCAAATGTAGGCTTATGTACTCCAAAGATGAAATGAAAGAAAATCAAAATAAATGAAATGATTTTGATTTTGGATAGAAGAGAGGATGAGAGACGTTTTTGCATATCAAACTGTGAGGAATAGGACACCCAAAGGGTCCTATTTATAGACCATGAAAGGGTGTGGACGAAATGGTTGAGGCCAAACCATGCACCCTTTCCAAACAATGCACCTTTATGAAAAGGTGTCTATTCACTAATGGTTGAGGCCTTTTTCGTAATTTCTCATTCATCCGATATTGGTTTTCGAAATGCCAAATATACCCTTCAATACATGCAGGTCGATCCCCGTTTGTGCGCCCCGAAGCGGCGAAGTGGCAAACAATTTTGCCTAAACGGATTGAGTCGAGATTTTGAGTATTTGGCCGAAGTCGATACGAACTTTAATCGATTTTCAATTCTCGATTTATTTAACCAATATCCAACACTTTCTTCCCGACCTATTTGATTTCACAAGATCTAGTTTCGTTCAAATAACGGATTCTACAAATGGAACCTAACCATACATGTCCTCCGATTCCATAAAACTATTTTCTTCCCTAAGCGGATTCGGAATTGAAGGAAATAAGAATCAAGAGATTTCGGAAAAGATTCATCAAAATTATTCTTAACAAAATGTTGAAAAGGCAATTATCTCGCTGCGGTTACCATTATCCTTCTTGTGGTGACTAATCTTGCATGTGCTCTTAAGAAAATGAATTTGTCCATTTTTCGGGGTCTCAAAGGGCGTAGAAACATATAAGAACTCTTTAATGGAAATGGAAAAGAGATGTAACTCCAGTTCTTTCGGAATCGCTATTCAATCCTATTTCCGATAGGGGCAGTTGACAATTTAATCCAATTTTGACCATTATTTTCATATCCATAATAGTGCGAAAAAGGGAAGGTGCGGTGACGGGGAGGGGGAGGGGGTTTTGGAAATGGAGATTGCGGAGAGAGAACCAGACGAATTGATTTTTTTCTTTGCTGCAATTGGTTTTATATCTCTGTTTGGTTATATTGCTAATGACCTTTTTGTTTAATATTGTTTTTATTGTATTTCACGTGCCAACTTAGCAATTTCAGATGCCTGTTTTTAAATCTGATTGAGTAGCAATAAAATCATCACGAACTAGATAAGTGTATGTCTCTCCTGTAGCGAACGTCTCATTTTTCGATGATTAACAACTTAAATTGATATGTGATCTTTTAAGAGGTAATGGTGCCACTGTTGTACTTTTCAATATAACTTGTAATTTTATTTCATTTAGGGAATGAATTACAAGAACCAAGTAGTCATTCCATTATTTCCATTTCCATATGCATTGATGGGAGTTAAGAGCAAAGGAATTTTCGACTGTCCTACAAGTCCCAAAGAAGAAAGTGTAGGCAAGAGCAGCTATCCAGTGATTACCAACGATCGCATTTTGATATGGAGTATGTTTAGCTTCAATCAAAGCAACAATGAACTTTCGTTTTACCGATCAAAAAGAACAAAACAATGAACTTTTGTTTGAAATATATGAAGTGAAAAAGAATCTATTCAATCAACAATCTTCTACCGTGTAAGAATGTGATTGAAAATGAATTTAAAAAATAAAGAATGGTTCTAATGATAATCATTCAGGGTAGTTGAGTTTAAACTTGTTGGTAGTTGTTTTCGCCGTAGCATCGCTACTTATTTTCAATAGATTCTGATACATAAAGCTTCAGTTTTTAGGTCCTAGGAATAAATGTCGTGTAACCCTTTGTAGTCTATATGCCAAGTAATTTATTCTTCCCGTGCCCACTTCCTCGAGGAATCATTGAATGATTTGATGTTCGGCTAAAGCATAGAAAGAAAGGTAACACTCCTAAACATAAATATCAGCCTTCGGCAGATGTCTCAAATATGAATAAACATAACACCAAGGCAGAAGATTGAAATAGACTACGCGCATGAATAGCAAGAGAGACATAGGCTCACACCCCTAAAAATGAATTTCCTTTCTGGCAATCTACGATCATAAAACTTCTCTCTACCTCCGCTCTTGACTGGTCACTACTGCTAGCCACATATTTTCCATTTCTACAGAACCACCAAAGTAAATGAAACATAAAGAACAAAACCGAAGGACGGACAGATACTGATGGACGATACTTTTCCCAGACCCTGGACAGGATGCAGAAAGTTTAAGGATACATCGAGATCTGCGTTATCTACATTAAATATCACTTTAAATCAATCGATCTCTCCTTCCTCCGGATCATTGGGAGCATCAGGAGTGCTTTTGGGCTCACCTTCTTCTTCCTCTTCATCGTCCATCTTCATGTATAATCCAAGTTGCTCCAGTGGATTACTACTGGCCTGAAATTTGAAACTTCCAAGACCATTTTGGGAGTGTTCAGGGCTTGTCTCCTCGATTAAGCTTTGTAAATGCTCATCCGGAGCAGCTCTGAACATTTCTAAATCTTCCATAAACTGACTATTCTCATTGATATCAACTGTCTTCTCCATCTGTAGTCGAGATCATATTCATGCCATCATTAGCAAGGAATACTCAGTTTTCAACCTATTTTTGTCATGATGAATGTGCTCTCTAATTTTACCTTCAGCAGAGCCTGACGTGCAGCTTCCCTTTCAAGTTCTCTCTGCCTTCTGGCTTCTGCTGCAGCTTCTATTTCGGCTTTTCTACGAGCTTCTTCTGCAGCCTTGGCTTCAGCTTGCAAACGAGCTTTCTCTGAAAGCACATTCAAACGTGAACAATTAACCAATAATATGCCAGTTTTAAGCATCAAGATACATGCACTAGCCATATATTCAAATCGTCAAGAAACACAGACCTTCTTTTCTCCGTCGTTCAAGCTCTTCCATTTCCAGCCTCAACTTCTCGGGATCCTGCTTTTCACCCTAAATTTTTTTTGTTGAGGTCCGTTACTAGACAACACAAAGTGAACGCAATCAAGTAGGACGAAGTTTGGTAATAATTTAAAATTCCACGCACCTTTTCAAGGGTATTCTCTTGAGCTTTGATTATAATATCAGCAAATCGACTTCTCAACAAAGCTGCTCGGTACAGCTTTTCAGGGGAGACTTGCCTCTCAGGTGGAGCACTCTCCCCTAAAATGTTACATCATGCCGGTAAGATGACGCTTCATAACTAATACCACACATTTTCTTCATTACTTTTCACCACTTACCCTCTTCAGGAATGTTAGGCTCAACAGAGACGAAGTTGGACAGGGACTGTTGCTCAGCATGGCCATCCAAGGACTCTGCAGTGAACTTGGAATGTGTTATAATATACAACAGCAGCCAGTAAAAAACTAGTTCATTACAGCCATAAAGTCCAGACCTCCAGTATCTAGACCACCCATATCATCTTTCTTCTGCTCCAAATTCAATTCAGAAACTAATGTTTCCTGCCATTGGAAAGAAACGGAACATATGCTAAATTCTACCTTCAAGCTAAAATTTTTAGAAGCAAGTGGTACCTTTTTAATATTTTCAAGGACCATAGCTCAGGAGGAGAAAAAGGTTTCAAATGCACAGCATACCTTTGCAGTACCTCCAGGAACTGAACCTTGAACGTTATCCGATTCACCATCGGCAAAACTTCTCACATCTGAATCTCAGTAAATAGCACCAAATCAAAATAAAATATAGGTTTCTATGAATGTTCATCAAAATTATCTAGGGTTGCACCAGACCACAGACTAACTGAAGTTACATGACCATAGAGTTTAACTAATTAAGCAAAAGATTACAATGTCAACATTTCAGTCTACTACCACAGATCACAGTTCCAGTCTTAAATGCAACATAGAGGACAACGAACAACAAAAGAGCTCTCACATAAACAGAATCAGTCATCAACAATGCAGTCCCGATATCCTTTGAGATTTATAATTCAGCTTTCAGAAGTAAGCGCATGTTGAGCCAATTGAAAACAGAACTTTTAGTACTCATAAATGCTCAATGTGCGTCCTTCCGATAAACAATCCGAGATTCGAAGAGAAGATAAAGGTGACCAACAAAAAATATAAAAAGTAGAATAACACTCAATATTATCCATCAAGAAAGATATTTCCACACCAGTGTTTTACTCAAATAAAGATAGAAAGGAACTTCAGCACAAGTTCCAAATTTGGGTAAACAGCAACTACCAACTTAACCAACTCGATCGCAACAAGTAATAAGCCCCCACAAATGCTGGTCAAAACACATCAAAATGCAAGTTTGGCATTTGGCGAGCTTACATCATTTATGAAGACAGGTGTTTCACCTATCTTGTGGGCACACCAAATGGAAAAATAAGTTAAAAAGAGGAATGTTTTCATATAACAAACCATTGAACAACTTGAGCATACAGTTAAAGCAATAAGCCAATCAAATCATACCAAAATATAAGTGAGGTTTTTAAGTATGAACTAGCTAAATAAGGAGTAGAGTTACTCAAGAGTCCTAGGTAAAAGCATTCAAAGTTGTATAATATCTATTTAAAACATGGATAGGACAAAATTTATGTCGATAAATAAAGCCACTTTTTTTTACCACAAATGGATGAGGCAAATTTCTTAATTGTCAAGCAAAATGCATGCATGCATGCAAAGATGGTGGCAAAATTAGTTTTCCCCTTCTCCAGCAAGATGACAACTAAATGTGTAGAGAATTCCATGCATGCAAGAAAGGTTGCCAATTTTGACTTCTCTTTTTCTGCCAACTTCCAACCACTTGACAACCAAGATTTTAGCAGAAATCTCCAACCATTTTCTTTGACATGAAAGCGGTGGAATGTCCAGCTAATGACCAGTCAAATTACAACCTTTTATCTTGACTTTTGTAAGCAACTGAGGTGGAAATTGTTTACAAAAAGCGGACAATAGTTGAAGAGAAGATAGCAGTGTATGGAGAGGGAAAATTGAGAGAAAATATTCTTTTAGTAGAGAAAAAATTATTGTTTTCTCCTAGGTATTTTCTACTCGTGTTTCTCCTAATTACAAGAGAGATTAATTGTTATTATCTCCTTATATTTAGAGAGTGTATTGTAATTCTCCTACTATATGAAATCCTCCTATACTTGCCTGTGGACGTAACTTAAATTGGATAAACCACGTAAATACTTATGTCCATTTTTTAGCTGTGTTTTCTCAATTCCACTATTTGTCAGTCAAACTCAATCCACGCTTCTTCACAATAGTGGAGAAGGGGAAACCAATTTTGCCACCACCTTTGCATGCATGCATGCATCTTGCTTGACAATTAAAAAATTGCCTTATCCATTTGTGGTCAAAGAAAGTGGCTTTATTTAGCAACAATTTATTCACTATATCACCTCAAAAAATGAAAAATAGTAGAGATATAAACTGATTTAAGTTTATTAAGGTTGGAATCTCGGCGATGTGATCACAGGAATAAGAGGACGGCATCCCTATGGGGATATCAATCAGGGGTGTATATTTTATGCTTCAAGAAATAAATTTAAAAAAAAATAGCAAGATGTCTAATAAATGGACGAAGATAGATAAAGTGCCTATTTACAAAAAAGAGAGAGAATCATAATTGGATAAAGTATGAAAGTATTAACCTCACGCAGTGGAAATCTATTAAAATGAGGTTGATTTAAGCGTAAATTTAAATTGGAATGTAATTTAAGGTACTCAGGAAACCGGCTTGATTTTACGTCAGATGGATCACAAATCGTTTGACTTGCCAAGTTAAGGATAATCTACATTTTCAAAAAAAACCTGGAACCTAAAAATGAAAAGGGACGTCAAATCTATCTTGTTATACAGAATAATCCAATGAATCTAAATACTCAGGCAAATATTGAAGTTAATTTTTCCTCTTTTCTCATTTTACTCTTCCTGGTGCTTATACATATTCAATGACAGTGTCAACAATGCAGCAACTCCTGTCTTCAAAACCAAAAGATTTACTATTTATGTTGTTGGGATTTTCAAGAAAAAGACGTCTCTACAGAGAGCTGTTAGAGAACACTGGGATTAGACAGCTGTTCACCAGCCACAATTACTAACAGTTCATGTCAACTTGGAAACTCCGATTCTGGAATTTTAAGATCATGTTTTCTGTACCAATCGGCTTTAAATTGAACTAGCAACGGAAGGAATGAAATCATGAGAATGTGAGAACATACTTTAACCCAAGGGAAAGAGAAAAACCTATGCACAAATATTATATATGCCAAAAATAATTAAAAATGAATCTCAAATAAAAAGTAGCTAAAAAATTTGAACATAAAGTACATGCAAGGAAGTGGCAAATATCAAATATGCAGAAACAACACAGATTTGAGCATGAAAAGGAGCCCAATCAAAACAAAGAAAAGGAAATTTAACGCTATTCTAACATAAAGAAGCAAAAGACTAAAACGTCCAGATTGATAACTAATGCTGCTCCTTGACCAATATTTATATTTTTTCAATATTATAATAGGATATTCAGTTGGGAAGTGGGCTTCAACATAGTTGCTTAAAGAATGCGGTATATGGTTATGTTATTTACGTTGATCTCAATATCTCACATGCCAATGAACCTATGCACTATCTCAGCTTCCTTGGAAAGCCAAAAGTGGAGAAAATTGAACCTTCTTTTCATACAATAATACAAGCCGAAACTCTTAAACGCAAGAGGTATGTTGTTTCTTCTTACATTTTTTATCTAGCTTCAAACTTTAAAAACTCTATTTTCATTATTAGATCAAGTAGTGCATAACCATGAAGTTTGATAATTTTCAGTCGAAGTGAGGTCTTGGGAAAGCTCATCCTGTTACCATGGAACAGAGAACATTCAATAGTTCAAGTCAAACCCCCATAATCCATTTACCCAACAATTCATCAAAAAATTGAACAAAACTCCAATGAGATGATACATTATCTATATATGCATCAAGTAGTTGCAAGTAAATGTTACAACCGTAATTCGTTTTAGCTGGAAAAAGATACATGCGAATGACCTTTCTCATGGTGAGATCAGAATGAAATAGCAATTCCCACTCCTCTAACCTTTAACACTACATTCTCCTGGATAAAATCCAGTTCCACCAGTGTACCTTACAAAAATACTGCGAGAAATCGTCAAATTAGCGTACAATTGTTTCAGAACTTTCAGCTCCAATGCTTAAATGAAGGAAGAACAGAGGGTTACTGATGCCCAAAGATTGGCAGACACAAGGGGTTTCGGAACATGAAGGGTACAAGGCAGCTTCTTTTTGGAGGACTCGGAATGATCAGTAAAAACATAATATTCTGGATTCAGGCATATAGAAAGACAAAAAGAGTTTGGTGCCCATGGGCAGTGAAAACTTGCAGTCCACGACGTCCAACATCTACAAGCATGCTAGGGAGTGATTATAAGTCGTGAGTCCTATAGAATTTGAGGACAATGAGTGGGTAATAGTTTTGGGGCCTACAAACTATAAGGATAAAAAGCAGGTTTGACCAGCTTAAATAATAATTTAAGCTTTGCCTATAACACCAATATAGATCATAACCAATATAGATACAGACCCTTAATTGAACATTCATATGCTTCAGATCTTAGAAATAAAAATTTAAAGAGAAAGTTCATAGTAGCACGAACCACTGGATGAGGAACCTGACCCACTACTGGAGCTACTTGAACTACTGCATTTCCTGTTCCTTTCGGTAATGTCCTCAGTTTCCAAGGCAGGGAAACTTAAGATAGGAGGATCAATCCCACCGATATCTTCATCCTCGTGAGCTGGTTCCTTGTCTGCTAAAGTGTTTACAAGACGAGGTGAAAGTAGTCAATAATCAAAGCAAGCCCTAAGTGACAACCAACAACTACTTCAAAGAACTTATTCTTCAATTTGCAACTTTATCTGTAGAAAGAAAGATTACCCTTGCAAGGTTCCACAGATGAATTGCTCAATCCTGAGTCATTTCGAATCTGCAGCAAGATGCAATGAGGTACATGATATATATATACATAGAGAACTTTAAAGATGACATGAGCGCACGAGGATCCATTCAAATAAGTACCTCCATTTCACATGGCACAGCTGTTGCTTGATTTTTTTGCTTTTCCAGTAGATACTCATCCAACAGCCTTCGTAGTGTGAAAAGAGTATCATCGCCGAGAGTGTCAATATCAATTTCAATCTCATCCTCACTCACTTGATTCCCATTCAAACTACTCTCTTTCAAAAAATCAATAATATTGTCAGGTAATTCTGCCAGTAAGGTCTCTAATTCTCTGCCCAGTCTTTGCTTCTCGACATCACTCATAGCATGCTTAACTGATTTTTGCTTGACCTTGTTTTCAGCTGATATACTTTTCTGCTTTTTAGTAGCAGGCATAGAAGAGGCAGTTTCAGCTTCTATAATAACGCTTGATCTTGAAGGTTGGGATTCATCTGCCATTATGGGAATCTTCTTCTCAATTGGTTTCCATCTCACTTCAAAGAACTTTTTCATTGTCTCTGCCATTAAATGGACATCATTTCCACGCGGGTTGTAAGTCAATGCATTTTCGAATGTGAGCCTCACATCCGCAGCAAACCCCATCGGACTGGAATATCCACCCGAATGTAACTTTTTTTTTATTGTGCCCAAATCCATTGGATGCTTAATAACATTGAAGTAATCTGGAATATTCAATTTTACAGTATCAACAGGTTCATTGAAGACCCAACCATACTGATGTGCCATCAACCGATTTAGCAATGTCTCGCACTGTTTCATCATCATCACAAAATTGGTATTCCGTGGCAGCCCCTGCTTCACAGATCCTGTATGCCTACCTTCTACAACCCCACCTTTTGTGCGAGGCCCATTTCTTCCCAGAGGAAACTTTTTCTTCCCTGGTGCTGCAGTCATTTTATTTATAGACATAGGATAACTTTCCACAGCAATGGGTCTTTTTAGTCCTTCACTATAGCTATGTATGTCACTAGGAGGTGAAGACCTCATAGCATTTGAGCCCATTGAAGCTATCTTTGTCTGAAGCATCTTAACTTGTGCAAGCTCCTTTTTCAACTTCATCTCCAAATCCCTCCTCTCCAATTGCGACATCTCAGAAAGAGACATCACCTTAATTGGTACATTAAAGCTATCATAATCATTAACATTTAAGCTAATACACTTTCTTTTTGGATCATACAAATCCTCCAAAGCTGCCATTTCAGTGTTAACTCTAACCGCACTTCCAAAACCTTCAGATTCAGCCACTGTCTCAACCGCATGCCTATAATCTGGCACAAAACCAGAAGAATAGCCCTTTGAAACTTTCCGGGTTTTCCCCATAGTAACAGATACTCCAGTGTCCGAGCACTTATTCAATTCCCTCCGTTCAGTGTACTCTATAGGAATAGTTGGAGCCATGAATTAAACTCCCGAGTTCTGCACATATTAACCTTCTTTTAATTCAAACCCAATTATCTGCTATTAACAGCCCAAACTTTCAAAAGATTCCAAAATATATATCTTTTCTGTGTATCCAATAAAAAATAATGATGTCCACGTTTCCAAATCTTAATTACAACACCAACATAATTGCGATATTTTATTTTTCCCACTCAACTCAGAGCTGAATTCTACCAGAATTTCAATTCAATTAAAAAAAAAAAAAAACAAAACCCTAACTTCAACAATCATTCTATTAATATCTAAATTTTTTTTTTTTTCCGATTCCAAAGATGGGAGCAATATCCGAACCGGCAAACCCTAGATTGAATCCAAAGCTCCCAAACACAAGACTGGACAGGAAACGGTAAAATTACAAGACTAAACCTAGAGAATGCACCATAAGAATCCAATACAAAACCTGGATCTCAATACGTGGTGCGGGTTGGGTTCGGGTGATGGGAATTGGTTGATGGGACCGACCCGTCACAATAGTGAAACCCTAAAGATGTAAAAAATCGCGAAACCTATGGATACAAAATATATAGTTGCTTGTATAGAGAGAGAAAGTTTAAGAGAGTACTTACGCTGAGCAATTAGAGCTTCGCTGGATCGCCGCTACTTAAAGGCGAGACACCGTCAAGCCCGCGATCTCAAACAACTCCTGCCCGCCCACTTCGTGGTATTTAATCGGACGGCTCCTATTCTTTTGCTTTTTCAACAATCAGATCTGCATCTAACGGCTGTCAGTGATTCGATTAATTGACAATTATTCTATAAATTATATAATTTATTTCCGTTTAATTCGCTGATTAGAGGAAAAAGACCAATCGCAAGTGGTGTGAAGATATCACACGTACGGTATCGCACTGTTAGTGTCACAGCTTCGTAAAACTGGAGCGAGTTTTGTAAGTACATTGATATACTTACGAAGAGGAGATTAATTTAAAATAAGCACGTGGTTTTTTATTGACTTTTACTCGCTTCACACGCGACTATTTGAACGGGCTTTCTAGATGATACTTGATTGGGCTTTTTAATAGTGAAAATTACACCAAATCCTGTCCTTTAAGTTTCATTTTCAAAAATTAAATTTAAAAGTTATTTGAACAAAAATCAGACAATAATAATTTTTTAATTTTAAATAATAATATTCTATAATTAAATTAATCTAACTAATTACACACCCCTATCTCCCCTCATCACATTTCACTTACCAAACCTCGTTCTTTTATCTCTCGCTTCTCTCCCCATATCCTCTCCCTTCTCTCCCTTTATCATACCAACACAACCCTCCAACGACGGCACTAACCACGATCATCCAGCGACAACATTGTCGTTACTACATTCATCCGTCGCAGCTGCATCGCCACCACAGAGGAGGCACCGTCTACGACGCCTCGATCTTTCCATTTTGCTCAGATTTTTGCGAGCTACTAAGAGTGGCACCTTTGTGGGATGGTGCCATCTATGAGCATCTGTAGCTGAAGTATTGGTGGTATTTGTGACTGACAGCTCAAGCCATCATTGTTGTAGCTAGAGTCGTTGTTGGTGTTTGTTTGTGATGACAATCTAATTCCACTAAGCCCGTTGTAGTTGGTGGTTTTTATGTGTGGTGGTGTGTTGCAGACGGTAATGTTTGTTGGCAATGGTAGTGCGTTGTGGGTACGGCGTGCGGTGGTGGTGGTGGTGGTGGTGCAAGTTTATGATTTGTGTTGGTTATTAGCGTGAAGGATTACTACGGTGGTTTTGAGATGATTTTTGGGAGGTGGGTTTTTTTCCCTGATCTGCTTTGTCGGAGTGTGTATGGTGGTTGGTGGTGGTGGTGGTGGTGGTGGTGGTAATGTGTCGGTGTTGGTGTTGTAGTGATGGTGGTGCATGTCGTGGTAATATGGTGGTACTGGCAGTAGCGACGACGGGATGGGATGGGAAGAAGAGTATTTGTGACTAATTATTTGGTAATTTGTCACCAATAAATAAATATGTAACTTAAAAATGTGATCGTCACTCACTTTATTAAATTATGATTGAGAAATAATTTGTGACCAATTAATTTGATATTTTGTAATCATGAAATAAGTTGTGATTTATAAAATTCGTGATTCGTAACCGATAAATAAATGTGACATATAAATTTTTTGATTTGTGACCAATAAATAATTTTTGACCTATAAAATTTTGATTTGTAATAGATAAATAATTTGTAAATAATTAATTTGCTAATAATTAATTATTTTATAAATAGATTTTAATAATATCTTATTTTTGAAGCTTTAAACATTGTTTCTTAATTTTGAAATGGATCATAGTTAAACTCTTGAATACGAATTTTTTTCCTTGAAATCTATGTCATGGGCCTTTAATTTTTGGTCATTTTTTTTTCCCAAAAATTTTAGAAGTGTACTGTTAAATAACGAGTTTTAAATTTGTAAGATTATTGTTTACTGGTGATGGAAACTAGCATAAATTCAAAAATGCTAAATGAAAAGGCCTATGGACAGGCCATGTGACAGGGGGTCTGAGGTGGCTCAGTCTCAACCCGAGATCTAAATGTCTGATCCCAAGCCCTGTCAATGTAGCTTCTCTCATATAAATTAACCTAACATTTATCGATTTTGTTGGTCATGCTCTTCGTGCCAAATCAATCAAGCAAAAGTGGGAAGGTGTGGTGCCTCAAGTAGACAGAAACATGAATGGGAGAATAACATAAATTCAACTCGTTGATTCAACCAAAACATCGAGAATGGATTGAGAAGAAACAATGGAGAATCTACGAATGTCTCTAATCAAAATTCAATTCTAGAAACGTTTATAAAGAGTGAAAACCCTATGAAAGAATAAAAAGCCAACTCCTCTCAAGGGTTTAAACTACCCGTCCTCGAATCAAGACGTTATCGTCCACAATAGACCCACTATACTGAATGAAATGTTTAATATTAAAAATATCAAAAGTACGAATGTAGCTTTGCAGCTTCAAATGTTAAGCAGTGGAATTAATTTTCTGTGTGATCTCGAAGTGTCCAATTCCATGATAAGAGAGCTTGATATATTCATGAGCGGGAAATCAGTCTCTTGTAAAAACTGCAAAAACAAAATCTCCAAACTCAAATTTAACATGGCAATGCATAGCATCAACAACCTATTTTATATCGTAACGTGGACTCGACAAGTTTTGTTGTGGCTGCCTCGTGAACATGTCATAAAGCATCAACAAAATCCACAGCACGGTCCTGAATTCACATCTTAGAGGGTAAGTCACTAGGTCTAGGGGACCATGAGGAACCACGAATGTACAAATTGAAATGGACTACTACACGTAATCTTGTCGATGGCCTAATTACCCAACAAATGATTAACTACCTTGTAATCTTGTAATAATTTTTTATAAACTACACTTTAAACTCTACAAATGGTATCAGAGCTTAGGCTAGTGGTGAAAAGTGTTAAAACAATCTGAAAATCATATTGGAAGTTGAAGGGGTTCGATTTTGTTCAAAAACATCTTCAACAGAAACTTTAAACCCATTTTTTGAAAAAAAAAACGACGCATTTGGTGGACAAACGGAGACCACCACCAGAAACCAGACATCAAGCAAAATATTTCGGTACGGCTGAGGTGGCGTGTGGCACCACACGTAGAGGACACTTGTGGCGCGTGAGGGCGCATGGAAGTGATTCAGCCGGAGGTGAAAAAAGACAGATTGTTCCTTGATGAATTTCTGACCTTCTGTGCTGTTGGATTTCAATTTGGTGTACGACGAAAGTAAATACAATCTCGGGTAGAAAAGTAGAAACGGAGAAACTTTTTCGTTGGCGACTCGGTGGTGTTTACTAGTGTTTCAGCAGCTGTTGGATGACTTAGAGGAGTTACTTGGGGCTTCAGATAGATAAGGACTCGCATCTCTCCTTAAAATACGAACCAATTGTTTGGTTCGCTAGATTTGCGCACTCTAACACCTTCTCGAATTTACAATTGAAATATTGTGTTATTTGCAGCCATATTGTTACTTGACTCTTGTGATATTGGTTATGTGTTACTTGTTATGATATCATCATTTATGTCATCTTAGAAAGTAATTTATACATAAATTGATTTGAGCTTGCATTTGTGTGTGGGTAAATTGGCTAAGTAAAACTGTTTCGAAAACATTATTTTGCTAATATGGCCTCTCGAGTTGAATTGGCATAATTCAATTGTAAAGGAGATTATTCCATTTGGAAGCAAAAAATGAAAGCTATTTTGATTCAACAAAAGGTTTCTAAAGCTCTTGACGACCCGAAAAAATATCCCGATGCATTAAAAGTTAAACCCGATGAAATTACTGAGATAAATGAAATTGCACATAGTTTGATTATATTTCATTTATCTGATGATGTGTTAGGACAAATTGAACAACATAAGACTACCAAAGAGTCGTGGGAAGCACTTGACAAGTTATTTCTGGAAAAATCTCTTCCAAACAAAATACATTTGCTTCAAAAACTGTTTAGTTTTAAGTTGGACCCGGAGAATGATCTTGAATCAAATTTGAGTGACTTTAACAGACTCGTCAAGTGTTTGGCCCACAACGATGAGAAATTTGATGATGAGTATCTAACGGTTATACTTTTAAATGTGATAAGTATGTTTTTACACACTGATTTGGTTCACAAACATGACTTAAATATGGATAAAATGGTTAAATTGTGACTTAATCTAGTTAAATTCATGCATTATAGGTAATTCAATGGAAATTGTGGAATTCAAGAGAAAAGAGCCGAAGAAGGACCAAAACGCAACAAATTGATAGTTCGAGGACCAAAGGTGCAAATATTGAGATGTTGAGCTAAATGCAAAACGAGAGTAAAAACATGCCGAGTATGAGCTCAAGGACAAAGCAAAACAAGTGGAGGGAGAAAGTATTGAAGAGGGACTGAAATGAAGACAAGTGAAAGTTGGAGGACTAAAGCGCAAATACTCGAAAGATGAGCCGAATGAGTGGCATGAGATTTGATGGTGTCAATCATCAATTGGAGGATAAAATTTGTTGAAAAGATGAAGAAATCGAAGAAAGAAGTCAAAAAAAGCAACAAGGAAAGTTCGGGGACCAAAATGAAGGGTCTTCATAGATGACCAAACTATGCGACCGCATAATGTAACCATCTATGCGGTCGCATAGATGGATGCAGGGAAAAATTGGTGAATTTCAAGTGACCTATGCGACCGCATAGGATCCTTCTATGCGGTCACATAGGTATAATTTCGGGGCATTTTTGCAGTTTCCTTTTTCGACTCCAACTCTTTTTTTAACCTAATTTGGACGTGATATGAGATACGAAAATACGTCCAGAAGAGGGGGGAATGACCAGAGAGACGAATTGGAGGCACAAAAATACAATCTTGGGTTGATTTTACAAGGATTCAAGAAGGATTTCAAGATTTCATACAAGAAAACAAGGATTTTCATACGAGTGTATTCTTTATATCTTATTTCATTTTTATTTCTTGATTCAGTAATCATGATTGTAGGCTAGGGTTTTAAATTCATTAGGAGATCGATGAACCTTTGATTACTATTAAATTCTTATATCTCATGAGTTC